TGCCCTCGCCTGCTGCCCATTTGTCGGTGGGCAGCTTGGGCAGCTGCGGCCAGACAACTGACAGCAAACCTGTGCTGCAGCAGGAACTGGAAGTCCATAGGAACCACACAAAATCTGCTCATTCAGTGTTTATCTCCAGATGTGTATGTGGTTGGCTATAGGTGAACGTTCCATGACCAGTTTTGCATTTTTGAAGCATATAGGATATACCGTAAATTCAAGATGATTCACTTGCACAGGCATCTCACTTGTACCGATTTCCTTCTTTTTGAAGGGACTAGGATTTGCACTAAAAGGTTTCTCAGCCCATTTCTCAACATATGGCCAAAGGGTCTAGGAGGCTATGAAATGGGCATGAAAATGCTTCACATTTCGTGGAAGTGTGACGTGGTTTGAATAGTTAATGCATGCATATGCATATTCAGGGCTTCACATCAAAAGCACTTGCATAGCGTTTGTGTGTAAATACAGGTTGCTACTGTTATGCAGACAGCTAGTATCACATTATTTCTTATTGCTCTACTTCCCTGTGGGTTTTGTAGGTAACAGTAGTCAAAAAATAATGTGATTTTCTATTTTTATAGGGACTCGGCAGTTAACATTCATTATCAGTCAGGCTCCTTTTCATGTCTGGCAGCTCTTGGGTTGTGTGACTAAACTGTACTCATATGAAGCATGCCATTAAAATGGGAACGGTTGTTCAACAGATTAGGGACTCCTAGGATCAAGTACTTACGGTGAACTTAAAAAAACACTGGAACACCTACTTACGTAGGTTAAAAAAACACTCCACTCGCCACCTTCCCCCCGGTTCTGTGTAATAGGTGTATTTAAAGTCAGTCTGTTGTTCAGCTAACATGTTAAAGCAGTAGAAGTGGTTGCAGCCAGCAACAGAATCCTGCTTTACTAGTGTACACAGAGCCTCATTCGTTTTTTGCTACATCATTTTCAGCTGGATCAGTTTCCCGATCCACTGTGCTCTGCAGCCACCAAATCCTTGTGTTGGCAGAGGCGAGGTGGCACAGGAATGAGGATGAGCACTTGGGGGACAAAGGTATGTGGGACTGTAGCTTGGGTTGACTTGTTAAATGAGAAGTCACAGAAATCTGAGACTCCCAGATTAATATATTTAGCATAAACAATTCCATTTCTACAAGTTCTTAACTATCTTTGCTTCTACTTGAGCAAGAGTGATACTGACCTTTTGTCTTCGAGAGAACAACTTGTCTAATTGCACTGTTTTCTTGGTCAATGATTACATTGTGCCCTTGTTTCTACTGTTGAGGGCAGATGTTGAAAAACATCTTAGCCAAAATAATATGAATATATATTGAAGGTGCACAAACACAAACTCTGTGTGTGTATATACATGTAAATATATGGAATTTCAAATACTCAGTATAAGTGACTCTGCTTCACAGACTTGGTACCATAACCGTTTCTAGCAGCTGTAATTTTAGCCTTTTGATCTCACCTCTTAAACATTTAAGTAGTTCTAATTTAAACTCAATTATTATGGTAGGAATTGGTAATAGGGGTTTCTGAAGTGTTCAACCCAGCAAAAGGATCAAACTCTTTTCCTAGTTCGGACAGCGGTTCTTCTATCTTTCCAGATTTATGGTATAAATTAGAATGTATAATGTTACTGATGCATGGTGGAAAATTTAATAGTTAGGAAACTAGACTAATAAAGACCAAGTGTGGCTAACAAAAATTTAGTGAAGGAAAATGTGGAAATGCCTTTCAACCTGTGTATTGTGCTACAGCATCTCTCTCTGTGTACAGACAGCACAGATGTAGATTAATCTGGTCAAGATGAAACGAAAATACCATGGAGTATGAGATTTTTGTGTGTGACTTTTTATGCTTCCGTATTAAACACAGAAGGTCAGCAGATTAGAGACAAAGGGCGGGACTGCCAAAAGAAAACACACCAAATATAAAGTGTGTCAGAGAGAATGAATGTTGTGCATTGCCACAGGGTCTTCCACGAAGGGAAGACCTGAATGCGATGAATAAATAGCTAATCTGATTGCAGGTAATTTACTGCTGTGATTAGTGCTATATAGTCTTTCCTCAGGGAAGAGGAAAGAAGTGGATGAGACTTCCTCTTGCTGCTCCCCTTTGCTTGAGCCTGGCTTTTGATGTGTTTGCATTTAGATGAGTGGTGTTGCCCATCGCTAGCTCCCGAGCCAGCTCCGGAAAAGCACAGCAAAATGTGGCTGGTTATAAAGTCAGAGAACTAGGTAGGGAGCCAGGTCAGACCTTGGTGCCCACCCTATGGTAAATATTAAAGTATGTACAAATACGGAGTGAAGCACATTTCATCTCATCTCATCTCATTGCTGGGGGGTGGACCTGGGTCTGTAGCCATGACATCCACAGCCAGCCCTGGTTACTCGCCGGCAGTAGGTGTGCAGTGCTGCCGAGCTAGAGCTTACAGGTAGACGCTGACGAACTTTGGTCCCCGCGGGATTTCTCCTCCAGGGCCTGTTTTGCTTTACTTCTCAGTCTGGGTGTTGGTCTTTGGGTTTCGTTGCCGGGGTGGTATCCTGGGCTCCCCAGCGGCACCGGGCAGAGGCTGTTCTCTCCCAGGGCTTCCTGGCTCTCAAGAGCTAACCAAGCAGAGCCTCTTCTTAGTCTTCATAAAATCAACACCTGTCTTGACACCAGCTGCACTAAATACAGTTTGGGTTTTGCTGCTGATCTCAGGTGCTTATATAACATGTATAATGTTACATTTATATGTTTTAATAATCGCTGCTGTCACCATTGGCTTGTCTTTTCGTGTCCTGTGTGTCTCCAAATTAAGCCCTCTTTTTCAAGGTGTCAAGACAAAAACACCGCTGACTTCAAGCAAAATGTTCCAGACTTAATTGGACATAATATCAGCAAAATGTGCTGGTTTTCACATCTATCAAAATACATAGGAGAAAGTGCAAAACCTGAACATTTATCCAGTAAGATGAGAAGTTTTCTCTGCTAAAACTGGCAAATGTTGATAACTTGGCAGAAACCTGAATTTAACTTCTCCATCCTACTTCTCCGAGAATTTAATCGCATCTAGCTTGTTTTGGGGGATTGATAGTTATGACAAGTGTATCAAATTTCATCCCAGTGGTATCTTTTATGTTTCCTGAGAGAGGAGAAAATAGCAATTTTACCTTGTGCCCAGGAGTCACAGAAAGCAGGAATTGTAGGTACCTGCCACATTGAGTTTTTAAATAAAAATGAATTGCAGGGCAGCATGTAGCAGAGATGGGGAGGAGGAGGGAAGAGGGAAAGGAGTGAGGCATAAACTGTAGAGGAGCATTTATTGGATCTGCCCCAGCTTTTAATCTAGTACAACACCGCAGAGAGTTATGAATATGTATGAACTGCATTTTGTTCAGATGTGAGGAGTCTGAGAAGATGTCAGCTTGTTTTTTTCAGGGGATTTGTAGCTTTTTGGTTTTCTATCCAGAATTAACTAATTTTGCAAAGATGATGTTTATATAGATATCCTGTGTAACTCCTGTTTCCGTGCTGTAAATATTGAAAAGCAGAGGATTTTGACTGGTTCCCTGCAAATCTTATTTAGGGGCAAGTTAATCTTCTTGTAAATACTTACAACGTTACTTTGAAACTTACTTCTTAAAAAAACCACAAACCCAAACAGTTTTGAAAATTGAAAGACATGTTTTAAACTAGCAAAGCCACATCTGTTTAGGAGAATTGTATTCATGAGAAATATATAGCATCCGATTCTGTGTTCCTCACGGCAGATGTTTGGGAGTACCAGAACTGGAAGATGGACTCATAGATTTCCACATGCATTTTGCTGCCTTTGGGGGAGGAACGACACCCACCACAAAACTAACCTTTTCTAAATGATTATTAGGAATAAACATCAAAATGATTTGGTGTAAGACTAGAAAATCGGACTTATGGTGAAAGCAGTAGAAGTTAGCTTTGAATCAAACTTACATGTGATTTTTTGGCAAGTCACAGTGGGACAGATTTTGTAAAAGAACCTAACTTCTGTGAAGACACCACAGTATAGGACCATATTTTTAAGGGAACTCAGCGCCCGGTATGTTTATTTGGAAGATCTGGCACTGATTGTTGGTACCAAGTGCTGGAAAATCTGTCTCTGAACTCTGAAAATCTGGCTCTGTGGGCCTGATCCATGCCTCCTTCAAAACAATGGGAATAGTTGCCCTGAATTGGGGTGATCAAGCCTGCGTTCTCTATCTCTGACCCTCACGGTATGTGAATTAACCACATTTCCTTTTTCCTACCTGCCATCTTATTTGCCTGAGTTTCATGGTTTCTTGTACATGTGTACTTCTTACAGAAATGAGATACTAGCATAAACTGAATAATAATAATAATAAAGCGAAAGTCCGTTGCAAGTGAATTGAAGCTTGGAGAACAGACTAGGTCTGGAATAAATGTCACGTGAACACAAATTAATCCGAATAACAGCATAATTTAAAAACAACAGCACCAGCAGCCTAGCTCAGTACCTCATGCCTGGTACCCTCATGACATACTTGTGAGACATGCTGCAGCCTCTGGTATGCCTACCCGCTCGGACAAGGTGAGGTATCCCACCTCAGGTCCCTCCTGTGGACTGGGACTCGGGACCACTGTCCGTGACACAGCCCCTGGACTGAGTGGTGGGACTCAGTCACATCTTAGGGTGATCTAAACCAGTGTGTCGTCAGTGGAAAGCAAGGGAGCAGTGGTGCTTTGTGCCACGTTTGGAGCTGCTTTGGTGCCTACCAGCTTGTTCGGTTTTAATGCTTTTTACTGTGACATTGCTTTGTGTGACATTACATTTTAACACAGTTTCATTGAATGGAAGAGAAGCAGCGCTAATAACTTCTTCTCAAGATGGAGATGCACACAGCTCTTGGGTATTTCATTCTGTCACTGCTGGCTGTCTACTGATTGTGCCGGCAGTGCTGGTATGGGAGGAAAATGTGCTAATTAAGTCCTCTTTTTTGTTATTTCAGGAAACCTACCATATGAATATAAAATAGTGATTGCTGGGAATCATGAACTGACATTTGATAAGGAATTCATGGCAGACCTTGTTAAACAAGATTACTACCGCTTTCCCTCTGTGTCCAAATTGAAACCAGAGGACTTTGACAATGTTCAGTCACTCCTGACAAATAGTATTTACTTACAAGATTCAGAGGTAACAGTTAAAGGATTCCGAATATACGGTGCCCCGTGGTAAGTCTCA